GTGCTCTAAAAATGAACCTGAAATACTATGCCCAAACAAAGGACTAATTTTGCATTCAGTATGTTTTTTCCCAAGTTAATTAAAGATAGCAATATCACTTAAGCAATAGCAATAGCATTTAGACTTATATATCGCTTCACAGTGCTTTACAGCCCTCTCCAAGCAGTTTTACAGAGTCAGCATATTGCCCCCAACAATCTGTGTCCTCATTTCACTGACCTCAGAAGGATGGAAGGCTGTGTCAACCATGAGTCAATGAACTGCTGGCATAGGCAGAATTAGCCTGCAACATTGCATTCTAACCACTGCGCCACCACAGTTCTTTTAATTAGATATATTAAGGTTTATGGTTTAGCAATACCTATTTATCCTCACATACTAGTCTCAGTACAAATGCAGAACATTATTTTTTTTAAAAAACAATATATGTTGTTTAATGATTGTGAAACTGGGCTCTTACTGCATCTGAAGTGATCAAGTTTGGACTGAAGGTTGGAGAAATTAGTCGAACATAATAATGTTTTATTCTAGTTCGGGTATATGTGTGGAGGTATTAAATCTGTTGTCCATTGGGATACTAGCATTTAGCAATAGCACTTAGACTTATATACCTCTTCACAGTGCTTTAAAGCCCTCTCTAAGCGGTTTACAGAGTCAGCATATTGCCCCCAACAATATGGGTACTGATTTTACCCACCTCAGAAGGATGGAAGGCTGAGTCAACCTTGAGCCTGGTGAGATTTGAACTGCCAAACTGCAGGCAGCTGGCAGTTAGCAGAAGTAGCCTGCGGTACTGCACTCTAACCATTGCGCCACCGTGGCTCATCTGCATCTAAGAGAACCAGAGCAATTAATAACACTGGTTTGATAAAAATCATTTTGATTGTGGTATCCTAGATCACTCGGTGGGGAAGAGAGATCTAGTCAAAGCTCTCAGTTTTATGTGGGGGTTCTGGGCTCAACATTCAACTCACTCCTCTTTAACATCTACACAAAGTCACTGGTCAAAGTTTATTTTTTGGTTTGGGGTTAGATGTCATCAATAGTCTGATAATATATCTCTATTCTTAGATGAAACAATATTCTAGAGCAAACAATAGATACAAACTCAAGGTTAATCGCACCAAACTTGATTGCAGGAAATACAACTTCAGCAACAGAGTGGTCAATGTCTGGAATACTCTACCTGACTCTGTGGTTTCTTCCCCAAACCCCAAAAACTTTAACCTTAGACTGTCCACTATTGACCTCACCCCTTTCCTAAGAGGTCTGTAAGGGGCGTGCATAAGCGCACCAACGTGCCTACCGTCCCTGTCCTATTGTTTCTTTTATATTTTATTTTTATGTTTCTTATATGTATCCATGTATTCATAACTATGTTTTTACTTATACCTATTATCTTGTAAGCAATTGACAAATAAAAATAAATAAAATAAAAAATAAAATAAAATGACCAAGTGATGCCATCAAGTTTTTTTCTCTGTGTCCCAAGGGGGGGGGGGGGGGGGGGGGAGATTAGTTTTGAATAGGGAAGCCTTGAAAAATTCTCAGTTGTAAAAAGTTGTAACTGATCCAGAATGCAATGGCATGGGCAATTGGTTCTGAGTGTACCTTGACCTCCATGTATAAGTCTGGATTGTTTGTGAGACCATCTCTCTCCAAGACAGAATAGGATGGGCATGTTCTAGGTCGCTTCTTTTAAACAATGTCATCTTAGCACCCAAGAAACATGCCTTCTGTTTCACACCTTCCCTATAAAACTAAATATCCACAAGATATGGTTTTAATTGTGTGGATATGTAAATAGTCTTGGACATGATGCAGCTTTAGTTTTTCTCCTATGCCACCTTGAATCCCACTGCAGATTGTACAGCAAATTGAGATCTGGTTGGCTAAAATACTCTCCTAATTTTCCTCTCTTTAACTATTGGCAGTTAACTACACAATGAGGATAAAATGCTTACAAGGCTGTATGAGCCTTTGAACATCAAATATGGCTCATCTTAAACGAGAGACTGAAAGCATTTTTAAACCATTTCATCAGTGGAAATGGTTAGCATCAACCTTCAAATCACGATGTTTCTCCCAAATATCCATTAAATGATAAATTCAATTAGTGACTATAATTAAAAAATATCTACTTAGCAAAAGTTATGGTTAGGAATTCAGCCTGAAAAAAATATGACATCTTGAAACATCTTGAACTGCATATTCCATTTAGAAGTGAGAACTAAGAAGAACAGCCAAGTATGTAAGAGATTAATTGAAGTAATGAAAAGACTGATCAGAGCTTTGTTCCAATTCGACATTCCTTTTCAACACAGTTGTGGTTACTAGAGATATTAAATTTTCAATTTAACTTGCCTCATGAATATTTAGCTCTGTTAACTCTGTCCCCTGTGCCTCTCCCCACCTTCTTATTTAACATTATGATTGCCTTAAACAAGCAATACAATAAATGACACCAGATACATGAAAAATTCATTTCACTAAGCTTGTGGAGGGATGTGGCTTAAAGGTGATTTGTTAAATAGCAGATATAAAATAGTGGATTATACATATCTTTCATCCCTTAAGGGACGTGATAAGGAAAAAAATTACCGCCTGTGGTTGAAAAGACTTTTTCTAAAGCTTCCTCTAACCAAGACAAAGCATCAACCTTTTCCCCAACATCATTAGTACAAAGTAGAATTTTCTTCTTTTCATTACATATATCCTAAAGAAAAAAAAGTCTGTTTCTGTTTTTTCTTGGTTTGTATTTGTATTTTTCTTTTCTTTTCACTAATATTAACAATTGTCTTGTTAATCATGTATAAACTATACTAAATAAGTAATTAATTTTTTTTTAAAAATATACATTTATCTTACTTCAGTCTATTAAAAGCAAGTGTGAACAAACTGGTGAGTGGACACCTTCAGTCACCCTATAAGGCACCGGGGCAGACCCGGGGGCATCCGTGAGGCAGTGAAAAAGATAGAAACTATGACCACTTCACAAATCTTTTTTTATAAAAGGTTGGGCATGCTTTGTATGAAAATAACAGATAACGGATAATCAGAGTTGGAAGGGACCTTGTAGACCATCTAGTCCAACCCACCGTCCAAGCGGGAGACCCTACACCATTTCTGACAAATGGCAGTCTAACCTCTTCTTGAAAGTCTCAAGTGATGGCGCTCCCACAACTTCCGAGGGCAAGCTGTTCCATTGGTTGATTGTTCTCACTGTCAGAAAGTTTCTCCTTATTGCCAGATTAAATCTCTCCTTGTTCAGTTTCCATCTATTATTCCTTGTCTGGCCTTCAGGTGCTTTAGAAAATAGCTTGACTCCTTCCTCCCTGTGACAGCCCCTCAAATGTTGGAAGACTGCTATCATGTCTCCTCTGGTCCTTCTCTTTACTAGACTAGCCAAGCCCAGTTCCTGTAACCCATTCATCATATGTTTTAGCCTCCAGTCCCCTAATCATCCTGGTTGCTCTTCTCTGTACTTTTTCTAGAGTCTCAACATCTTTTTTATAATGTGATGAACAAAACTGGATGCAGTACTCTAGGTGTGGTCTTACTAAGGCTTTATAGAGTGGTATTAGTACTTCCCTTGATCTTCATTGTATCCCTCTGTTAATGAGGAATGGGACTTGAATTCTGTCTACTCTCATGCTTTTTTTAATCCACACAGGAAGTCCTGGGATTTCTCTTGTCACATGTTTCCAGGGCTCCCAAAACAAGTCACAACAGAAGAAGGAAAGCAGAAGGGAACGGGACGTTATCCTGCCATGGCTATGCCTTTTCCTCCACTGCTACTGTACAGGCAGTCCTTGATTTACAGCAGTTCGTTTAGGGATTGTTTGAAGCTACAACAGCACTGAAAAAAAGTGACTTATGACCCGTTTTTCCACACTTACAGTCATTGCAGCATCCCCATGGTCACGTGATCAAAATTCAGACACTTGGCAACTGACTCATCTTTATGACAATTGCAATGTCCGGTGTGTGTGTGTGTGTCGTGTGAACTCCTTTTGTAACTTTCTGACAAGCAAAGGCAATGGGGAAGCCAGATTCGCCTAGCAACTGCAGTGATTCACTTAACAACTGTGGCAAAAAAGGTTGCAAAATGGGGCAGAATTCACTTGACAATTGTATCAACTATCTGTATGACCAGCCATGGTCTCAACTATCAGGGGCAGCATTGCCTCCCTCCTATTAACTCAGATTCTCTTGAAGTGGAGAAGGAGAAGCCAGACAGCCAGGTGAAAGAACTTTGGAGGTGCCCTGGCACTTCTTCTCTTACATCCTTTGTGTCCAATAGTAAGGTTCATGGGGGAGCCCAAGTACATACAGCTTATGTGCAGAATCCATCTTACCACTAACATTTGTGTTATCTGTGTATATACCTGCTTGATAATAAAGCCATGGATATAAATTAACAGCCAGGACTATTCTGCATTCTCTTGGCCATAGTTGAATAGTCTAAGCCCATGATGGCAAACCTATGGCACATGTGCCGGAAGTGGCACGCAGAGCCATCTCTGCGGGCACGCGAGCCATCGCCCCAGCTCAGTTCCACTGGGCATGTGCACATGCCTCCCGCCAGCCAGCTGATTTTCAGGTATCTGCCACACATACGTGGGATGCGTGGCACGTGCGGGAGACATGTGCACATGCGCAGGGGGAGCACGGGGGTCCTGCACACATGCGCAGGGGGCAAGGAGAGTGCGGGGGGTGGTTCTGTACGCATGCGCAGGGGAGTGGGTGGAGTGAGAGGGGGTCGCGTGTACATTGCATTATGGGTGCAGGCACAGGTGCGTGCTGTCGAACACACATGCGCACACTTTCAGCCGTGACGACAAACAGGTTAGCCATCACTGGTCTAAGCTAATTGGATGATCTAACTGCAACAGAGTGAAGGTAAGTTTGAGTGATCATTTAGAATCTGGTAAGCTAGAGAAGAAGAGGGGGAAAAACAAAGAAGGAAAGTAAATTAAAATGTCAATGCAACAAAATACCTGTGGCTTTTTGGAAGAATTTCTTGTTTGACATCTTTGTTTCCATCTGGATCTGGAAGTGTACTTGGATCAAATTCCTCATCACTGTCACTGTGATCCAGAAAAGCTATAGTGTCTTCTTCAATCTACAGAAAGATTTGCAGAATTAGATACCTTACTGAATTATTAATATCTCGGTTAGTTCCAAGAAAAATCCATTCAATATCTTTTGAGATATGCATAGGAAAGAATCTAATCAAGCATTTAAGAAACTGCCCTTATATTCTCTCTCTCATGCCATCACAGGTATGCATGTAAGGATCTGAAAATGTCTTCACACAGCTGCATCTTTTTCTGGGACTGTACAAATGTTACAGGCACACACCAGAGCATACTGATGTACCTGTCTGCTTTGAAGGGTCCCCACAGCATTACTATTATAATCACACTTTAGCTTTTAAAGCCAGTAGAAAACAGGAGGGGAGGGGACGCCTCTTTGTACAATGGAAGCAAAGACTTGAATCACGGGTTTGTATGTTTGCCTTTAATCAGCACGCCTGTACCAGAAATACATGTAAAAAGGTAATACAAAGAGGCTTCAAGAAGATTGAATACAACAATGGAAACAAACATAGATAGATAGACAGGTAATATCATGTAAGAGAAAAAAATGTCGACTTCCGCATGAAACACATGCTTAATGTGGCTGTGTGATTTTATATTACACATATATTATTCTTTTCCATCAGTCCTGTTTTAAAAAATAACCTTTAAAAGTAGATTTTTGTGATCAAACAGTTCAGCAATCGTTGTTCCTTGGGCTGAATGGTGCCTGCTATGGAAATGAGCACACAGAAGAAACCAGCTATGTAACTGCACGGAATTTTTCTGTAACTTTATCTACACCATTTTTTAAAATCCTCTTTTAATACTGAAAAAAACATTTAGGAATATGAAAATAGATAAAAGTAACTGCTTTAGAAGGATCTAAGGTAGTTGCATTAAATGAATAATAATATTAAAGGATATTTTGCTCCACCAAAAGAACAGCATTTTATTAGGGTTGAGAGGTCGATGTGCCCTCGTGATGCAAAGCACTATGCTGAACAGGTGCAACCATATCAGACAGGTCTTAGCTGAAGAGGTAGACTAAATCTGTTGTTATACCAGTTATGAATGGAGCCTTTGGAGCCCTAAAGGGCTTCCTTGATATCTGGAAATACTAAATTTATCAGACCCGATTGGTGGATCAAAATGCCAAATCCAGTCTGAATATATGGCTGACTGTGCAATGAAGACGAAGACAAGGAGGAGGAGGAGGAGGAGGAGGAGAAGGAGGAGGAGGAGGAGAAGGAGGAAGAGGAGGAGTCTGGATGAAAATGATCTGTAGGAGATGACCAGGCTGAACCTGAGGGTGGGGTCAAATGCAACCATCAGTCTGGAGTCCCTATGCCTCCAAAAGAAACCTAAATCCAGCCCCTCTTGAAGTCCATTTTGGTACCAATCTGACCATTAGTAGACCAAATTCTTGTGTTTGGAATAAGCCCGCAATGCTTTTGAATTTGTTCCTGGTAGCCTGTGCCTGACAGGTCACTATAAATACCAGCAAATGAAGGCCAGCTAAAGAATTGGCAGCTGTGATTTCACATTTTTGTATATATTGTTATCATTAACTGGGGACCACAATCAGCCTTTCATAGGATTGTCAAGGACAACTTGGTGACACTGTGATGTTATCAAGACAAAGGAAAATTATTTTTACCTCTTTGAAAATATTTTGAGTTTGTATAATAAGGAATAGGTAGTTCAAGGAAAAAATCGTAATTAGACTTATGTCCCACCTTTCTTCCTAGACCTCAAGATGTACACATAGTGACAACTCATAATAATAACCTAATGAGGAAGGCTAGGCCAAGAGAGAGTAGCAGGCTCAATTATCCATTTAGTTTCCAAGGCTGAATATCATGTCACATCTTATCACAACACCACTACATTAACAATTATGTCACACTGATTCCAGAACAGTGTATGCTGCTACGGGAAAAAAATATAACCTGAATGTTGCCATGGCAAGGTAGTCCTCGTTTAGCAATCATAATTGCTAACCATAATTGATAATCATAATCATAAAATTCAGTTGTTAAGCAAAATGGTCACTAAGCCACAACTATACTTTATAATCCTAAATTTTTCTTTATAACCTGCAAAGGTTATAGATGTGAATTGGTTATCAAGTTATTTTTTTCACCACTTTTAAAACTGCAAATGGTCACTGCAAGAAGCAGTCACTAAATGAGATCTGCCTTTTTTGAAGGATCAGTTCAAATATACTGAAATTCTTAGAGAAATTGGAACAGCATCATGTAATCTTATAAGATATGACCCATACTCACATTAAAGTAGGTCAAATTCCTTTCTGTTCATGCAGATATTAAAGCTCTTTCTTCAGAGTGTGCTATGGTTTACAAAATGCCAATTTTTCATCTGCAAATAGATTATGGCACCAAGCTGCTCATTCGTCTTTTTATTTCAGGAACACCTGACAAATCCTTATACAGTGTAAAAAGTGTAACTTAATTTATGGTAAGCAAAATGAAATACATTTGGTGATTGATGACTTGTATGTAGCTTTCATAAAAATAGAAAATAAGGTTTCTTATCTCCAGGAGGATTACATTTGGAAATAATGAAGAAAAAAAAGAGTGACCAAAGAACCAGCTGAGACTGCACCTGATGGCTCTCTGGATTCAGTGTTTACAGCTGAAACATCGTAAATTAATTTAGTGGGAATAATGATATCTGATTAGATGTTTTATTGCTCAGATTCTCTCCTTGCTAATATCCATCAATAACAGGGATGTCAAACTCATCACAGAGTCATCACATAATGTACCGTGATTTCCCCCCCCCCCCTTCACTAAACAGGGCATGTTTAGGGCATGTTTGCATGTGTGACATATCCGGCTCACAGCCCATGAGTTTGACACCCCGATCAACAACATCAACTTGTCCTGAGGTGGTATTCAGCAAGTTCTGACAGGTTCTGGAGAACTGGTAGCGGAAATTTTGACTAGTTCGGAGAACCTGTAAATACCACCTCTGACTGGCCCCACCCCCATCTATTCTCTGCCTCCCGAGTCCCAGCTGATTGGCTGGGTCTTCTTTTGTTGCCTGCACAGGAGAACAGAGCTGGAAAGCAGGTTAGTGGGGTGGGGAGGGAATGGAGATTTTACAGTATCCTTCCCCTGCCATGCCCACCAAGCCACACCCAAAGAACGGTAGTAAAATATTTGAATACCACCACTGAACTTGTCTCACAGAAGGGAAAGAAACAACTATTGGGGTGGGAAGGGGGGAATAAAAAAGAATTGCAAATTAATCTGTTCCAGATTTCTGCTACTGTTCATTGGCTGTTGGATGGGATGATCTTAGGGAATATTAAGCCATATAGGGCTCTGTTAGAACCACAATGACATCGTGACATGGGTCACACAACTTGCTTCTCCTGCAGATGCCACGCTAGTGCTCCAACAACATCCTTGACTCTCCCAGGCATAATTTCTTACACTAACTTTGTCTCATACTCATTGTTCCTATTCTGGACACAAGCTATAGAATTCCCCATTTAACATTGACACCAAATAAAATGTGATGAAATAAGAGTCATCACCTTTGGTGAACGCTACCACATATATCTTACATTCTTTATATCTCACAAGTCATTTTTTTCTTTACACCATCACAACCATTATGATTAATTAAAAATTGCTTTATCATGAGTATAATCCATGCCATAAATTTACTATTCTACTTAAGAATGTGCCCTTATTGCCACCTAACAAGCATCTCTGCGCAGTGAAAATCCAACTTCTTTTCTAAAAAAGATAAAAAGATTTAAGAAAAGCCAAAAACCACTACTCTTACAGAAGATGCATTTTGCAAACCCTTCCTCAGTGTTTATAAAGAGGCCTCTCTTCCAGCACACCTTTGCTAATCAGTTTTAATGTTAATGTAAATGTGTGTTTTAACATTTTTCATGGAAAAATCTATGCGGTCCCTAAGCATTGACGGTGATCTGGTGGCACATAGTCAATTAATCAGTGTCTTAGATTTTTAAAGTATCTGCAAGTCATACAAATCAAATAAATGATACAGCTGAATAACAGCTATAGCAGAGCAAAATTAAAATAAAGGTCTACCTGAAATTATCTAGTTTTCTAACTAACTGGGTGGTCCACATATATTAAAATTGCCAAGGTTCCAAAACACTGGTGTAGAGTTTCAGTAACAGATGAAAATAGAGGAATTTAATGCAAGTGTCAGAGGTTTATTTTTCACAAGACAAAGTCAGTTGGGAATTATTCATAGTTTAACTGCAGTGTCTTCATTTCATCTCAGGCACATGCATGCGAAAGGTATATGTGGGTAGGTGCAGGGTTGTCATAAAATAAGATGCCAAAAATGGAACTAAATGACAGCTGGCTTTCTTGAGTGTGGGATAAAATGATCACGAAAAAGTTATCAAACTGTATAAAGTCAGCAAATGTTAAACAAGTACAAAAGTTGTTCTTCCAATAATGGCAAATTCCAAATATTTACAACAGGAGAAGCCTGGCTTGCTTCTAAAAGTTCTAGTGGGTGGAATAGTAAATGTCCATACAGAGTCCTATTTATTCTAAAATATAGAACTATGCCTGAATACCTTAGAAGTGGGGGATGGATCGCTCAAATCCCATAAAATCAGGTGTCTGGGAGCACATTTTCTAACTAGCAAATTTTATTAAAAGGCTTCAGCATGAGTTGCAACTTATTTCATCAGATTCATGGAATAGTTTGATGTACAATTTAAATTGAGATATGGGAGGCGAGTAATAAGTGGGAATAAGTGGGTTCCATAATAGCAATAGTATTTAGACTTATATATCACTTCACAGTGCTTTGCAGCCCTCTCTAAGCAGTTTTACAGAGTCAGCATATTGCCCCAAACAATCTGGGTTCTCATTTTACTGACTTCAGAAGGATGGAAGGCTGAGTCAACCTTGAGTTGGTAAAAATTGAACTGCCGAACTGCAGGCAGTCAGCAGAAGTAGCCTGCAGTACTGCATTCTAACCACTGCGCCACCACCATAAAATGCCATTGATAAAT